CTTCCTTGCGTACGGATGACAGCTGCGTATGACTTAATTTACTTTCTGGTGCTTTCACTTCCAGAGACAGAGTTATAAGCACTGTGTAACTGCCTCGAGAATGCTTGCCCATTTTAACACAACGTGGTGCGATCTTCCCCTTGCGCGGAGTGAGAGTTGTCGACTGTTATAGTATTTGGAGGTAGACATGTGATCGTGGTTGATCATGGTTATTTGGCGCCGTCGGATGCTAGGACGTGACGTCATGCTAGATCAGGGCTTTATGCCGAGACATGTGCCCTTCTGTTCAGTGTGTGCGTGCAGACGATCCATGATCGTGTGTGAGTGGGATATTGTGAGTTGGCTTGGAACGCGTCAATCAAGAGAAAGAGAACAACGGAGAGCAACAACAACCTGCTACTGCTGTGGTCGGACAAGAGAGTTCCAGACAGCTCGAAGGTGATTGATTCTGAAGGAAGGGGTCAAATACCATTACATGACCCCGCACAACATGATCTACTCGACCACCATAACGGTTACCGCAAAATGAAACCAGAGGTGAAATAGAAAACCGGTAACCTGGTTGCCGAGTTCACGAAGTGAATTGCCTTGTTTTACAACGTCGTTGCCAAGCGACGAAAACCCAACCCCGATGGCAAACACCGGGGCGGCTTGTTGTACAACGTCGTTGCCAAGCGACGAGAACCCAATGCTGGGGGGCATAGGGACGATAGAAAAAAAAGAAAAGTGGAGCATGGGCAAGATACCAGGCGGTCAGCAGTACTGCTTGCTGTTGCACTGGAGGAGAGCATGCGATGGAGGTCGAAAGGACGGCAGCAGACGACATCTGCAGCAATCCCGCTGCACTTTTCGGACCGCGAAAACTGCAACGTACGAGGGGATCACGAAAAAAACAACGACACACCAACATGTGGCAAGGCCATACAACTTGAACGCGACCCTCCAACCACACACAACAACGTACCCATGCAGCACAGCACAGCACAGCACAGCTTCACACACCTTAGGGCCGACTTGGCGCCGGCGACGATGTCCTTTTCGATCTGGCCCGTCTTTTTGAACCAGCCCTCGTATAGCTTCGGCATCACCCCGGTGGGCCCCCCAAAAAACATGCGCACAGAGGACATGCCATAGCGTGAGCCTTGGGGCTGGCTTACCCCATGCCTAGGTGAGAATGAGGACACGAAGCCTTCCACAGCGGCCTGTTGAGCGGTCACCGCCACCAACGCACAAAGCAGCGAGGTTTTCATGTTTGTGTGTCGCAGGCTCGTGTGTTGGTGGGTGTATATGTTATATGTTAGGCCGCTTGCTGGGGGGGGGGTTGGGGGGGTCCCGAAAATATGATGTTTTCGTGGAGAGTAGCAACGTTTTTCTCCGACCGGGGCTGTAGAGGGTTCATTCCTTGTCTTTCCTATCTACCACCCGCTGTTGAGGCGGTGTCCTCTTCTTGACAGCAATGGTCATTCAACATGTGTTGCTAGGCCTCTCTGTTATGCATGCAGCATGGCTCAGCTCTGTTTCCCGAGAGAGATCGCAGCGGCACCACCGTAAGAAGTTTTCTCGGAATTTTCCACCACAGCTGGGCCAATGAGGGACGACGACACGTACTTGTACATACAGAGACGCGTGTCCAAACCCACTGCGCACGGACGGGGTGGACACGCGTTTGGCCAACAATGAAGAAAGCAGGGAGAGACCCGTCCGCATCGCATCACACCACCCCACTCTTTCACAAATTCTGCGCTGCCTTATCGCACCCGCAACCAACCGACCCGACTTTTTTTCAGGAGAGAGACGCCACCGACAGAGCAGCGACGACAACACCACACCACGACATCTACAGCAGTCCAGACACACAACACACCACCATACCCGCAGCAACATGCACCGTTTCCAACGTAATAGGGTAATGAGGAAGAGGAGATCGTCATCCTCCTCATGGAAGGTATGGTGGTCGATCATCGTTGCGGTGCTCGTCGCTCTCGTTGCTTTGGTAATACCAAGCGCGGCAACACAAGCGCAGGACAGCACTACAGAGGACACAACAGTGGCGCCGTTCATCGGGATAGACCTCGGTACAACGTACTCCTGTGTCGGAGTTGTCCAAAACGGCCGGGTGGACATCATTCCCAACGACCAAGGCAACCGTATTACGTGAGTGTAGTTTGTGTACGAAGCGCGGAGTCTACAAAACGCTGAAAGGTAGGCAGCAAGAGGCTTTCCGTCGTGCCCGTTGTCGACTCCAACACAAACTGCAGTCTACAATAGCAGAGCTTGGTTGACTTTCCCCATATACCCAGACTAGGCGCACCTTGTTACCATTAGCAACAGTATACTCATTGATGCTCTGAAGGTCTAGATACACCTGATAATTGCACTCACCAATACCGATTCAACGCCCACGGACCTCCTGCAACAAATCTTACGTGGGAATAACCGGCCTCCTCGTGAAAACTGACGTAACTTTCGTATAGACCGTCATATGTCGCGTGGGACTCGGTGAACGGAGAGCGCCTGATCGGTGATGCGGCCAAGAATCAAGCCGCCGTCAACCCCGAGAATACCGCATTCGACATCAAGAGGATAATCGGACGCCATTTTGACGACAAGTCAGTGCAAGCCGATGCGAAGCTCTTCCCCTTCAAGGTGGTTAGCCAAGACAGACAAGCGGCAGTGGAGGTGAGTGAGACTTACGCTGTCATGGGTTGTTGTTCGCAGGTGGCAGGGAGTATTTGAAAGGCCTTCGGAGTCTCCGAAACCCTTGGAATAAGTTTTGGCTCTTGGAAAGGCCGACCTCGATCTATCATGGTGCCGAATGATATACCAGCAGCCCGCCTTTTCCCCGATGCCTTTCCCTCCAATTCTAAAGTCAAAGCCCTTTCAGACTACAAGCAAATAGCACGACCTGTCAAACACAGGTCTGAAATATTCAACGTAATTATAGTCTCCGTCTGCTACGGTGTTCCTTGTTCGTATTCGCACAGGTGGAGGTAGGTGGTTCGAAGAAGACCTTTGCCCCTGAAGAAATAAGCGCCATGGTGCTCCTGAAGATGAAGGAGACCGCCGAGGACTTTCTGGGCCAACAAGTGTCCGACGCTGTCATCACTGTGCCTGCCTATTTCAACAACGCGCAACGCCAGGCCACAGAGGTACACGAATAGGCTAGCATTATTTGCGTGTTGGACACGACGGTTACGGCTTCGATCTCTGTGCGTCACGAACGCGTCAAGCACAGTTCGCATGTTCTCGCAACCTCAATTGCTCCCCAAAGCAATACACACACTAGCTGTTTCGACTTTTCGCGTCATACTCTTCGTTACATATGTGTGTCGAGTACAGAAATCAGCATAGTGGTCACTGCCTTCTCTACTTTGATCAGTCACCTTGGCCACCCTTTAATACTCCGACCCTGGTAGCCGCCGTAGACGTTGATTTACTGTACAGGTTCATTCAGAGATATGTTCCCCGACCCCAGTACACCTGACTCCACCCCTCTACATTAACATGGATGCCACAACGAGATAGGACGCCGCCAGGATCGCTGGTTTGACGGCAAGCAGGATCATCAACGAGCCGACGGCCGCCGCTCTAGCGTACGGCATGGACAAGAAATCATCTCAAGAGAAGAACATCCTCGTGTACGACCTTGGAGGCGGGACGTTCGACGTCAGCCTGCTCACGATAGACGATGGCGTTTTCGAGGTGATGTAGGCTCAGAGGAGCAATTGAATACTTTTAGCCAACGTCTTCGCCGGTGGACAGGCGGGGTCGACATACGACTGTCCATCACCTGTTTCTGCCTGACGAGATCCTCCGTTGCGTACCCCCCCCCCCCCCCCCCCCCCCCCCCCCCCCCCCCCCCCCCCCCCCCCCCCCCCCCCCCCCCCCCCCCCCCNCCCCCCCCCCCCTCCGCCTCCCCACAACTCTCGTCCCTCTGTCGTGTGAACCGCTTTCTACTGGTGCAGCAGGTGCTAGCGACGAACGGTGACACTCATCTCGGTGGTGAGGACTTTGATCAGCGCGTGATGCAGTACTTCATCAAGCTGTTCAACAGGAAAACGGGCACCGACATCACCGGAGACGTCAAGGCCACCCAGAAGCTCCGACGCGAGGTCCGTGCCGATTACCACATGTGTAACGGTCGGGTTCGATCAGCCTCTCTCTCGTTGCATAACCCGACCCCGACAGGATGAAATGCAAACATCGTTGTGGTCGATGATGGCCTACCCCGAATGGACTCTTGAGAAGACAGTCGGCTATTGGTACCCACGAAAGCGCATACAAACGCGTCCAGAGCCTCTTTCGGCGTGCACACGACGAACCCTTTCAGTTATGTGCCACATTTCTTGCTTCGCCCAAAGGTGGAGCGCGTGAAGCGCGTGTTGTCCAGCCAGCACCAGGCCCGCGTTGAAATCGAGTCTCTCGTGGATGGTCACGACTTTTCGGAGACGCTCACTCGGGCTCGGTTTGAGGAGGTGAGATATTTTCGTATTTTCCGTATTTTCCGGTAGCAGTTATACCTCCCTCGTTCGTGGAGGAGGGTGGGCTCGACCGCAATGGCGCGAAACTCTAGCTACAGGCGTAGATTGTGCAACCGTCTTTATTGTTCCCGGAAACCCATGGCATGTACAGATTAATCTAGCAGGTCGAGAAGTCGTCTTGAACCAATGAGAATGACGTCATGTGAAGCGCTGATCTCAAGCTAGAATGCACAACTAGGGGCTAGAGAAGCCTACTGAAGACGTGAAATGCCCACAAACTGGGAAACCAAGCCAACATGACGCCAAGAACTAACTGCACCGTGGCTGCCACACATCCCAACTGAATTCGCGTGTCTTGCATAGCTCAACATCGACCTGTTCAAGAGGACCCTAGGTCCGGTGCAGAGAGCATTGAAGGACGCCGACCTGGAAATGTCCGAGGTGCACGAGGTCGTGCTCGTTGGTGGCTCCACACGCATCCCAAAGGTGAGGTGACAACACGTAGCCACAACTAACTACAGGCGCCCGCAGATACCTGTGTCCTCAAGCTGAAGTATTTAGCTTCTGCGAAAATAAATATCGATCGTCACTGGTGGTGCCGCTATTACGCTTGCCCTTCGGTTATTGCGCTTGTCCTCCAGTCTCAACACGCACTTTATTCACGACACACGTGCCGAATAACTTACCCATAGATTTGCATTCTTTCGAAAGGGTGTCAAAACCTGTAAACAAGAACAATCCGACAAGAGGTCTTCCTTCGAATGCAATGATTTTCTTTCAAGGTTGTTGGATTCACGTAACGACGAACAAGATACTCCACCTTTGACCCGTTCCTGAACGTATCCGTGGACGATTCTACTCCCTACAGGTTCAAGAGCTTCTGAAGGACCTGTTCAACGGCAAGGAGCTATCGCGGGGCATCAATCCCGACGAAGCAGTCGCCTACGGCGCGGCGATTCAGGGCGATATTATCAGAGGAGGTAGCCTGGAAGGCGAGGTAGTGGTGCTTGACGTGATCGCCCTCAGTCAGGTCAGTCGGGACGCAACCAGCCTCCTTATTGCGGTACCTCACTAGAGCTCTAGGTATATGGTGACCCAATCCTTTGGCGAGACACACGGCGGGGTGTGTATGCGGCAGAAACACGAGATTGAGGCAACTTTTTAGCTATCATGTTCGTTCCTAACTTGGTGTGTGTACCAGGATTCTTTGTTCGTGGGCAACACAGTCGTGGGTACCAATGACATGGAGGATACTCTAGGTTAGCGATAAGTTGATCATTCCTCGGGCAGCTCGCCAATAGGGTACTACCGTGGTTTTGTAGGGGCTGCTTTGAATCTTTTATGTCACTTTTCGAAAAACGCCACGTTCGTCATAGATTCGTGCCTACGAACACCAGGGCATCGAAACAGTGGGCGGTATGATGACCAACATCATCCCGCGGAACAGCGTCGTACCCACCAAGAAGACCAAAGTGTTTTCCACCTACCAGGACAACCAACCCGCCGTACTCGTGAAGGTCTTCGAAGGAGAACGGGCCATGACCAAGGACAACCATGTGCTAGGTGTGGCGTAAAGCCTGGTGTACATTCACTGTGTGTGCTGGTACCACCTTTCTGACGACTTTGGTTTGGAACCCCCCCTGCCCCGGTACTTTCAATGCGAATAGCTTAGGCTTGTCGGGTGCCGAAATCCTCCTTCAAACTCGTGTTGTAGGGTCTTCCCCGGCTTCGGACGTTACTCCATCTCTGCATTTCGAGACAAAACACTGAACATTGTCTGGTGTCTTTCCTACACGTGTGACGCTCTAGGTTCCTGGCCAGTCAGGCTGTCTGTCTTTCAAGAAATGAAAGATGTGCAACGGGCAATCGATACAAGTATCCACATGATGCAAGAGCCCATCTGCCCTACGCCCAGGCGACGAGTTCTACACCCTCCCTTCATCACTCTCCCTCGCATCACTCGTATACGCACGTCCCTAACCCTAACCCTCTCAAGCAATCGAAACCTTGAATGAATGGGGTCTCAAACACTAATGTGCAGGGAAGTTCGAGCTGACAGGGCTACCGCCGGCGCCACGGGGAGTGCCTCAGATCGAGGTGACCTTCGAAGTTGACGTGAACGGCATCTTGCAGGTCTCGGCAAGGGACACCGGCAGCGGCCGCAGCGAGAAGATCGTCGTCACCGGCGACACGGTGAGTACAGTACACAGCAACAAAAAAAAGGGTAGAGAATGACTTTCACGAGTTTGGCAGAAAAAAAAAAGTTGGTGTGTGGTTTACACTCGAAAATCCCATAGAGGTCCCATACGCTTTTGACCCATATCATTCGTCATTTTCTTTTCTACCTGTAGCAGGTTGGTGAGGGTTGACTTGGAGTTAGAAGTGAGCAACGGATGACAATTTTTGTTTTGGTGCCATCTTTCTCATGTGCTCGTTTTGTGGCCGAAGGATGGGAGATGAATCGGAAGTGTGACTAACGTTTCGACCACGCAACGTTCCACCAAGGGGTATGCCGTCATCCCCGAAGTCGAGCCTAGGGTCCCGTCCTGATGTGTGTTTTGTGTGCCTCTGCTCGTCTCTTTGTCTTGTTTTTATCCCAGGGGCGTCTCTCGCCAGAGGACATCGAGAGGATGGTGCAGGATGCCGAGGACTACCGTGAGGACGACAGGCTGATCAAGGAGCGCACCGACGCGAAGAACTCGCTCGAGGGCTATCTGTACAACTTGAAAAATCTTCTGGAAGATGATGGCGGAGGGGTTGCCAGCAAAATCAGCGACGCGGACAGGGAGGTGAGCGTGCGCTTTGTGCTGAAGCTCTGTCAACGATCGAGCGGGCCATCCGGGAAGATAATTGGTCATGATATAGTATTTTTGCAGTCAGGGGTTACCAGAAGAACACACGAACTCCTGTCTGTGTTCGTCATATTGTCAAGGGCCCCGTTGGATTCCGTCATGTATCGTGTTGTTGTTGCTTGGTAGTGCCAGCGAATAGTCCCAACGGGACACAGGATCACAAAAAACGACGCCAGGGAATGTGCTCGCTTGATGTGATTATGTCTGATGTGTAATCACGCCTTGCAGCTGTTGCAAGCGCGTCCTTTTAGCTGTTCTTCTTCATCAGTTGTTGTTCATGTCTCACTGTACATTTAGACTATGTATAGTCTATGGCCGGTCTGCGGCAAATAGATAATGACGAACGACCCCGAGCTCCCCAGTCTCTCTTCCAAGTGCACTCCTTTAACCATGCCCCCCCACCCCGGTGTTTGCCATCGGGGTTGGGTTTTCGTCGCTTGGCAACGACGTCGTAAAACAAGCCAATTCACTTCGTGAACTCGGCAACCAGGTTACCGGTTTTTTTTACCTCCGTTTTTTTTTTGGCTGTAGCCATAATGGTGGTCGAGTAGATCATGTTGTGTGGGGTGGAGAACCCTCACTCCGCGCAAGGGGGATGATCGCACCACGTTGTGTCAAAATGGTCAAGCACCCTCGAGGCAGTTACACAGTGCTTGTAACTGTCTCTGGAAGTGAAAGCACCAGGAAGTTATTTAA